GAGGTACACCTTTTTAATGGTAGACGAACTGTGTTATCGAAAAATTGTATCAAATGTTATAAAAACCTAACCTCAAAGATTGTATGGGACAATAAGCTTAAAGCAACCCCCGTTTTTACGACACTGTGTTCACTCAAACAATTATAATTATGTGTGAATATGTGTTTTGGTAGTAATTGACTGTTCGCAAAATATCACGTTTCCAAGACTACCTTAGTAGAAGTTATATTAAAAAAACTGATATGATAGGTAACACTTTTTCACCCTGTATCTTGGAAACATAAGTAATTAGGAAAAATATTTATTTAGGTTTTCGTGTTATTTTGACTTGCTCAATCTTTTCCTAAATTTATGCCAATAAGTTTAGGGACACCTTGTATATAAAATTAAAAAATACTTTATCATATTTAATTAAATAAAATTAAGTTTTTAGTAAAAAAGTGGTTCACATGAGTAATCTAGGATAGACCTATAGGGCCGAAATTTGGCACACATTTTTTTTTTCATTTTTTTGAGACAATTTCAGGGGAGCCAGGGTTAACTTTTTTTTTACCCGACATATATATATATATATATATATATATATATATATCCTCTGCACTCAAACTTTCTCGATCAACTAGCCACCTGGTGCCCACTGCGCATGGTTACAGCCACCTGGTACCTTCTGCGCATGGACCCAACCATCTGCTCAGCTGACAGTATGACGTTCTTTTAACGTATTTATTTCGTCACCCATTACGTCGTTTTGACCTGTTGGATGACGTCGAATCGATCAAAATATTACGTGAAAATGTCACAGCCCAAAGACGTCACCAAAGTGACGTAAAATGACGTCGTCTTATGACGTAGAATATATGTTTTATCGACGTAATTGTAACGTATAATTACGTTAATACGACATTTTATCAACCTATTTATGACGTATGTATCGATTTTGGGACAGCACAAAAACCAAAAATATTGATAAAATTTTATTTGAAAAAAAAAAATAAACAAAATAATGCACTTTCTGTGGTGCAAAAGTTACCTTAAATTTAAAACACTGATAATACTACTTTCTCGATTTTCTCGGCGTCAACCATTTGCAATGAACAAGTGCTAAACCACCTTCATCGTCATCAGTTTTGCAGAATTCCACTCCTACGAAAGCCATATCTATGTAGACAAAAATTACAACTTCAGTAGGTATAGTTTTAATAACATTATATATTATATAGGTAACTATTTAATAAATTTAATTTATAACTTTAACAAATATAATTAACCAATATACATATAAGTACTTGTTAAACTTATTATTTCATTACTTTTTCTTAATGCCCAATGGCGACCATGACGCCGGCATGAAACCGGCTGACAAATTCAACATTACCCCCATCGCGATGCATCGTTTAGTTGTTTACATTTTAACGCAAAAGATATAGGTATGTAAGTATCAACGAAATAACAAAATTTTGCTTACCTAACTGATAACTGATAATTATTATTAAGCAAAAGCATACACTTGTTGCACGGCTTTAACACACGCAAACAGAACATACAAACTTTGTCATAAAAGCGCGGCATTCGGTCACACCCGCACGAGCACCTCCGATTCGGTGGCTCCGAATTTTGACGAGCGTTTGGCGCGAAATTTAAATATTTAACGGCAAATACATTTTATTATTTATTTACAAGTTTAATAAATACTTTGTAACTCCTAATATATTGAGTGTCTAGCAATAAGTATCTCTAATATATATCCAATGGATAACTAATGTATGTCCAAAGTATATCCACTGTACATCTAATGTATATCCACTGGATATCCGGTGGATAACTGATATGGATATCTTGTATATATACTTGTATGTATACATGTGGGATTTTGTGATGGTTTAAACTAGCATATGTAAAAAAAACAACTTTACGGTAAATTGATTTTTTGCCAAGAGCTACGAAATTTTTAATTTTGAAATGTTCACTTTACCCAGATAATAATATTTATATATTAATAATATTATTTCTGTTAATAATATGACTATGACAGTCTGCAATACAATAAAAAATTACTTAAAAAAGTCCCTTTTGTTTATTATTGTATTTCATAGTACTACGCACGCGCTGAATTTGAGAATCTTCAGTGTTGCCGGTTATAAGCAAAATAACTAAACGAAATATATTTCCGTACTTTATTAAGTTTTAATAAATAAATTAAATAAATTTAAAATAATTATTCACCACATTTATGTCAAATAGGTATACTAGGTATACTAATTAATTAAGTATTAAAGATTTAATAATATAACCGCCATTTTGATGAGCTTTCTGAAATTATTTAAACGTCTGACAACACTGCTCAGCAGTGACTGCTGCCGAACACAGAAGATAAAGAAGCGTCCTTTTTCTATGGTAGCGTCCGTTAAATATGATGCCATGATTGTTAGGTACATCCAAAGGGTTTTTATGTTTATTTGCTTCATTCCACAGATTGTAAAGGTTCATTCGCCATCATTGCTATTTGTTATATGTTTGTCATAAAGTTTATTGCCAAGTTATTGTGTTTTGTGGTTATTTGTTTGAGGTCTCTAGTGGTAAGTGAATATTTTATTAATTTTCTAATCATAGTTATCATTTTAAATTGTATTGGTCTAAAACTAATACAATTTTAAATTAAATAGGTATATTTAAGTGCAATTTATAAACTTTCGGTTAGCATTGAAGGTAAAACATTAAAGGTGAATACATGCATGCATTTATATACCGTACCTTTATTTGCAAGCTATACATAGGCTCGAGGGTAACAAATGGGCTGATGGATTGGCCAAATTTTGGGGATCATAAGGAGACAGGTGAAATAGGCCCTAAATGATTAGGCTGATAAAAAGGCAAATGATAGCTGGAGGAGTGATGTCAAGCCAGAGACTTCACTTCTTTAGTTATATGTAGTTTTCTGTTCTATTTTATGTTTTCATAAAAATAAATATTTAAATTAAAGAATAAGACTTTTATTTTAAAACCCAATGTTATTTATTGAAAAGTAAATATCCATTGATTCACCATATCCAATACAGATGACAACCATATTGCATACAATACTATATCCACTGGGTATCCATTGGATATCCACACTATGTCCAGGAGGGTCGGACATTTATATATCCAATGGTTATCCATTGGATATCCATACAATGTCCATATTGAATACAGAATACAACCATATTGCATACAATACTAAATCCACTGGGTATCCATTGGATATCCACACAATGTCCAGGAGGGTCGGACATTTATATATCCAATGGTTATCCATTGGATATCCCGGATATCCTATGTATATCCTGGATATCCATAAAAGAAATCCATTGGATATCCATTGGATGTAATTGTTCCGTGTGGGCATCAGCCCATTTGTTACCCTCGAGCCTATGTATAGCTTTCAAATAAAGGTACGGTATATAAATGCATGCATGTATTCACCTTTAATGTTTTACCTTCAATGCTAACCGAAAGTTTATAAATTAAAATTGTATTAGTTTTAGACCAATACAATTTAAAATGATAAATATGATTAGAAAATTAATAAAATATTCACTTACCACTATAGACCTCAATCAAATAACCACAAAACACAATAACTTGGCAATAAACTTTATGACAAACATATAACAAATAGCAATGATGGCGAATGAACCTTTACAATCTGTGGAATGAAGCAAATAAACATGAAAACCCTTTGCATGTACCTAACAATCATGGCATCATATTTAACGGACGCTATCATAGAAAAAGGACGCTTCTCTATCTTCTGTGTTCGGCGGCAGTGTTGTCAGACGTTTAAATAATTTCAGAAAGCTCATCAAAATGGCGGTTATATTATTAAATCTTTAATACTTAATTAATTAGTATACCTAGTATACCTATTTAACATAAATGTGGTGAGTAATTATTTTAAATTTATTTAATTTATTTATTAAAACTTAATAAAGTACGGAAATAATATATTATATTTCGTTTAGTTATTTTGCTTCTAACCGGCAACACTGAAGATTCTGAAATTCAGCGCGTGCGTACTACTATGAAATACAATAATAAACAAAAGGGACTTAAGTAATTTTTTATTGTATTGCAGACTGTCATAGTCATATTATTAACAGAAATAATATCTAGGTAAAGTGAACATTTCAAAATTAAAAATTTCGTAGCTCTTGGCAAAAAATCAATTTACCGTAAAGTCACAAAATCCCACATGTATACATACAAGAATATATACAAGATATCCATATCAGTTGTCCACTGGATATCCTGTGGATATCCTGTGGATATCCAGTAAATATACATTAGATGTACAGTGGATATACTTTAGACATACATTAGTTATCCATTGGATATATATTAGAGTTACTTTGTTGAAATTGGTTTAATAACGATTTAAATCATATTTATTAATCATTACATAAATTTATCCTATAAGGGGCTATTTTAAAAAAGAAAAAAATATTTTTAATGTTTTTGTTTTTTTTTGAACATCCAGTATGGATATCCATTGGATATCCAATGGATATCGTAAAAGGCATGGATGTTATATGGACATTGGGATAGCCATTGGATATCCATTGGATAGCGTGTTCTGTGTGGGACCATTGCTAACATCGTTATTATTCATCCTATGGTTTCGGTGAAATTAGCAAAATATCAGTATTTTTTCTGCTGTTTGCGAAGGTAAAACAATAAAAAAAAATCATACACTCAAAATATCAAAATTTAGAATAAAAATTTTTAATTAATTTTGATCACTCTGTATTTGAAAAATTAAAATGGTTTTAATATTGTTTCTTTTTTTGCACCTGCGAAGGATTTACGGTATTCATAGATGAGCTGAAGAGCACACTGTTTTGGGTCTTTATCTTTCGTTATTAATTGATTAAACTTAGTAAATAAATGAACCCCCCTTTCCGCAACATCATTTAAAACTTTGAGATTTTTTACGACTTTTAATGCATTTTAATAACTCTTACTTTTGCTCCAAAGGGCTGGATTAATATACAAACAGTCTTGACTGATTCCGAACCGAACAAAGAAATTTCGTGTTTGAGACGAAATTTACAGAAAATAACCATATCTTTGCATTTTAGTTCAATCCTTTTAGGAATCACATTTTCTATATCTTCAGATTGGTTTGATTCCGTTACCATGCATAGTTTCGTATTCAGTGATACTGATTCATCGAAAAATGCCATCGCAAATGATTCCAAATTTTGATAAATCAGTATCACTACGAAATGATGCATGGTAACGGAAAGAAAAAATACTGATTGTTTGCTTATTTAACCGACATCATAGGATCAACAATAACGAAGTTAGCAATGTTGCGCCCTTAATTTGGATCACCTTGTATAGTATTGTATACATAATTTGATTAATATTTCTCCCGTAGTTATAAAATTATTATTATAATTATAATTAATATAAAATTAAAAATTACTTTATCATTTTTAATTAAATAATTAAATATTTAGTTAAAAGTGGTTCACAGGGGTAATCTAGGATAGGCCTATAGGGCTGAAATTTGGCACAGATTTTTTTTCCTATTTGGAGTCACCTTATGTATATTACAAGAATAACCCGGGTTTATTTCCTTAAACAATCTTTTCTCATGCATTTAAAAAGCGATTTATAATTAAATATATTGTAAATTGTAAACTTCGACCAATCAAATAAGATAAATATATCACGTGATGCTCCCGACAACTTTTTGGTTAGAACGTGTCCCTTGTTAAAGCGTGTGCCGTTTTGTTCCTTTTTATTGTGGTAAGTATGATTTACAAATGTACTATATTTGTCAGTTAACATTTAAAGCAATTATTCGATATAAGATTCATTTAAAATATTATTTATAAATGATATTTTATATTTATAAATGATATTTTAAATGAATCTTATATCGAATAATTGCTTTAAATGTTAACTGACAAATATAGTACATTTGTAAATCATACTTACCACAATAAAAAGGAACAAAACGGCACACGCTTTAACAAGGGACACGTTCTAACCAAAAAGTTGTCGGGAGCATCACGTGATATATTTATCTTATTTGATTGGTCGAAGTTTACAATTAGTTTGTAAAAAATATTGTTGTGTATGTTTCGGTCACGTGAGTATTTTGCTTTATTTTATTGGTTATTTTTTTTACAATAAACTTGTAAAATTGGAAAAGGATTAAAATAATACAAAAACAATGTATTTTCACACACAAAAAGTAAAACTAATAAATATTTTTACAATAATATAGTAAAAATGTTAAGTTTTTGTAAAAATAAGAGACATTCCTTGTCATTTTAATTTTACATGCATTTCATGATAAAAATACCTTGAAAAACCAGATAACTTTACAATAAAATTACATACATTTTTTTCAGTGTATATAATCAAAAGTATTATAGGTAAAATTCTGAAAAATGCACGGTTAGCGAGTTATGAGCCAAAAAGCAAAAAAACTCCTCTTTCGGGGAATGAAATTAGGGGAGGCGGAAAGAAATTTTTGTGGGAATATTCTTGATTCACTATCAGCACCCCTGACTCTACATAAAAAAAACCGACTACCATCGAGTTTTCCTTCTACAATCTTTGTTTCCTGGACTAATTGAAATGCTTGAAATTAATGCGGGATACACCGGCATTTTCATTAAGAGTTTTAACAACTGTAATTTACTTTAAATAATTTAATAAAATTGTATTTTTAAAATTTGTTGTTTTAATTAAAGTTAAAAGATATATAGATAAATTCCAAGTTATTTTTTTTACATGCTATTTAAATGAGAAAAAGAAAATCGCGAGTCGCGTAGGGGGCCCTCGATTGGACGGGGCGCTGGGCTGCATGCAGCCCATAATGCCCATGCCTAAATCCGCCTAGGGTGATTGTTCCAGTCGTCGGCCACTTAAGAAAAATTTTAAATGCAGTTTTATACTGTTTGGTGAAATAAAACTGTGGCATCAATGAGATAAACGTGTGAGATCCCCTGTACACTCTAGTATCTGAAACTGTCATTGATTTTTGGCTATCTTATAACATAAAAATACTAATAATGAAAATTTCAGAGTGTCCCATTTTCGCTAGTGGTCGGCCTCATATATCCTAAATTCGGCCACATAAATGCCTTTAGTCGGCCCGACCAGAAATGGTATACATGAATACAGAAATTATTACTTACTTGTCAAAAATATTCACAGGAAAACGTACACATAAGTACAAAAATTAAATACACAAAAATACAAAAATTAAATTGTTTTATTATCCAAAATCGTAAAAAACAAAACTATAAAAAAATAACTAAACTAAAATAAATATTCTGTAACGTAAAAAACAAAACTAAAAAAAATTTAAAAAGTAAAATACCTATGCAGGTACTCATTAAAACTGTTTTCCTTTGTTTAACAAAGGTGACAAATAAAATTTTCAGACTGCACTTCGTTGTATGACATCCCGTCCAATTTGGTACACTGCAAATGATACCATCGAGGGCAGTTATCACAGCCAACATTCTTAAGACCTTCTTCTTCAGTGTCGCTTATTAGTTTAATATCACATGCACAGCAAATTTGCTTTTTTGGTATCACATTTTCAGTCTCAGTGTTTGTAGTGACTTTATTTCTTTTTACGGTTTTCTTTTTTTTTGGTTTAAGTTTTGGAGTGGCTTTCTGGGCCTTTATTGTTCTTTTGCGCACTTTCTCTGCTTCCACCTGTTCCTTTATGTCCGATTTTCTTTTCAAATAAAGTCGAAATTTCTCAGAGGAAATTGCTGAAGGTTGTTTTTCACGTTGTTTTCGCTTTGCTTCCTTATTTATAGGTCCAGGCCAAAACAAGTGAGATTGGAAGTTCTGTTGATTTATTTCTGCCACTGGAATTAAAATATCTTGTAAAATAGTTACTTTACTTTTTTCCGTTGGTTGTTGGCCAGCTTCTACGGTCCTACTTGAAGTTAAGTTTATGGTCGCACCTTCCGTCTCCATTTCTTCTCCAGAAATTGTAATATCTGTGAATAACTTATCTATTGCTTCTTGCCTTTTACACTTGGTATCGGCCCTTTCATATGCTATATTTTCATTTTCGGTTGCATCATCATTTGCATTCAAAAAACAATCTTCGAAGTTCTCGGCAGAATGTTGTTCTTCAAAACTAGCATCGAAGATCTCATCTTTATTTTTATTATTCTCTCCTTGATCAACCTCAAGTGCATGTCCAGGCAGAAACGCAAAGTGCACTTGTTTCATCCCTTTAGGTTTATTTGCATTTTCATATTCTTGCGCCTCACACGTGACAATGTCCTTTGATAAACTGGAGCCACAGTCTTTTATTATTTGTTCTTCACCCCTTGTGGATGATGGCCAATCATTTAAAAAACTTCCATCAAATATTAGGAAATCATCACACCTTATTTCATTAGGATTGTTCCCTGCTTCATCAGTGCCACTTGTATTTGCCTGTTCATCTGTACTTAGAGATTTTAAACCACCATTTTCTAACACCTCATATGTTTCATCAGTGCCACTTGTATTTGCCTGTTCATCTGTACTTAGAGATTTTAAACCACCATTTTCTAAAACCTCATATGTTTCTTCCACGCCATTAGCGCGGTTGTCTTTCAGTGTCTGTATTTGAGAAATAACGCTATCAAGCGATGAAACATTATCTTTTAGTGTTGATTTTAAATGAATTAAAACTCTTTCTGTTGTTTCTAAATCTTGTACAGAGATTTTATTAGTCTTACTTGTATTTATGTCCAAATTCTCAAGTTGATTCTGGATACATTTAGTGTAATCCACAGCTGAGGGGTCAAAAGGGTAAAGACCGCATTTCCTAAACCCATTAATTATGCTATCCTCCAAGGACGTACTTTTAAAAAGTTCTTCAAGCACAGTACAAAATTTTGTTTTTGTCAGGACACAGTTTTCATTCTCAGGTTTAGCTTGCCATTTTGCAACGGTCTTTTTCCACCCCGTCTTTAGCGGCTTGAAGACGCTTACATCCGCCGGTTGCAAAATGTGTGTCGTATTGGGCGGCAAAGCGTACAAAATTATTTGTCGCTCTTCGCAGAATGAACTTAGTTCTACTGTTAGATGCGATTTATGGCCATCGATTAAAAGTAGCACAGGTCGCTTAACGTTTTGTTCTTCCAACCATTTATCTACACCATTTGCGATATATTCGTAGAACACCTCAGATCTCATCCAACCTGTGTCTGATTTTTCAATGAACCATTCAGGCGGTACACTAGAGATGACTGCTGCAGGTATTCTTACATAGGGAAATACTACCATAGGGTTAAGCGTCTTTCCGTTGGCCGAGAATACCAAAAGAACAGTTATATTCTCCTTTTCATTTCCCTGATTGACAATATAGAGATTTTTCCACCCTTTGGGTGCAAGAACTTTTCCTGTTTTAGGACATAGAGAGAAACTAGTCTCATCTCCATTTAATATTCGAGATGGATCTTCCAGTATGTCAGTTGCTCCAACAGTCATTAAATAATTTTGAAGTTCCTCAAACCATTTTAATATAAATTCTTTAGTAACAACTGCTCGTGCCTTTGTAACGCCCTCGGCCTGCCGTAGTGACAATTCTTTGTGCCTTCCCAAAAACCTTCTATACCATTTTTCGCCAGGGCGATTATTCGCAAACGGGGTCTTTCTCTTTTCTTTCACAATTATATTTTGTACCGAATCCAGTAAATCATTCTTTTTCTGTGGAAAACCACATTTAGCTAATTGCAATAACCATTTAACCAGCTCGTTTTCCTCCTCTGCAGTTAATATAGTTGGGGGGCCCATTTTGCGAGGCCCTTCTGCAATTCTCCCATGAATTCTATCCTGCAAAGTTGTCCGCGGTACTGAAAATTCTTTAGCTACTTTCCTAATAGGTTGCCCATTTCTTATTGCTACCAACGCATCTTTTAATGACTGTTCTGAATATTTATGAAATTGTCGCTTTGGATGGTCTGCCATTATTTAAGTCTGCAAATTAAAAATAAAATCAAGGAAAAGAGGCCGGGGAAAAGTTCATTGTGCCAGTAGTCGGCCGTCTCTATTGCACCCGGCCGACTACTGGAAAACGTAAACGTATCGATAGTCTGCGCTATTCGTTTACATCTAAGCATAATAACCTTAACAATGACTCCACATAAAGCTCAAAATGATTATTTCACACATTTGCCAGTGGTCGGTCTCCAGGGCCGACTACTGGAAACGACTGGTAATTCGTACCCAGTAGTCGGCCGCCTTTTTTAGTATTGTTTTCGCGGTTTTAGACTCATTTTAAGGTTAAAAATTTAAAAAAACGATTTGTACTAAAACGAAATAACACTGGAAAATGCTAAGTAATTCCCTTTATGATCCAGGAACTCTTATTTTGTAACTACACTTTCCTTATGGGAATTATAAGATTTACTTACCAGTTGTCGTCCAACCCAACATCACTCGAGTAACGCACACATACAAACTTAAGAATTAGGTTAGAAACGAGGCTTTTGAAAAAGGCGCGAAGGAGACCCGGTCGACTATTGGGACATATTATTTTAAATAAAGGGACTAACGGAAACCTTGTTTTAGAAACTTTTACATAAAAGTGGCCGACTATTGGGTGAGGCCGAAATTAAGCGCACTCACCCTATGTGCAATCAGAGAAAGTCGACTTTTAAGGGTTTTTCGCCTGTCCCAGACCACCGTGTGCCAACTGTTAGTTATAACTAACATTTAATATGATTAGTGATTTGGTAAGGTTTGCATAAACTAAAATATTATATTTAAGTAGGTATAATATTTAAAAATATTATTATTATTGCTGGCACATGATCCTCGTTAATTATAATTATAATTACTGCAAGTCGTTGTATGCTTCACCCTGTATATCCTCCAGCTGCTGCATACAAGTCTTCGTCGAAAACAAAACACAGCGGGGGAAACATTTGAAGTTGCCGGGCCCGGATCCATCGAGTTTAGTAACCACGGTACGGTCTGCCTGTGACAACCGGGCACGCGCGTTCCGCATTGTCGATACGACTTTGATTCATGAATGTGTTTATATTTTATTCAGGCGAAAAAATGAGGTTTCATTAATTGAAATGATCAAAAACCAGAGTGCTTAGTGTCTGTGTCGATCAAGTGTGCTTTGAGGTGCTATTACCTGTGGTGTTATTCAAAAATACAGTGTTTGTTTATTGTTAAGTTGTCAATTGCAGTTGGATATTTAAACAATTTGCTACGGTAAGTTGTTTTTATTTTCTATCGCCTAAATACTTTGTTTATATACAAAACAAATGCAAATTTCAAACAACGCAATATGAGCTATAAAACATACCTACCTACTTAGTTTTGATATTTGTATTAAGTAGGTATTTAAATTTAAAATGTTAATAGATGTGAGAACTTCATAATTAACGTTTAAATATGTAAATTAGCTTTTATGATAACAAAGAAATAGGTATTAAACGTGCAAATAATTATGGTAAACATAACCTACATTGGGTATTTTGACAGTTGACATTTTATACTGCATTACAGATTTTAGCAAGAAGTTCTTGACAAGAACACTTCATACAGAGTTCTTGGATTTTAGGCTTTACCTGCTTTTATTTATAAAAAGCTAGTTCATTTTTAAAATGAGCAGTTTATGTGGGGATTATTACCTTTAACCATAGAGATGCTTTAACATTCAAAAACTACATAACCATAAGTTTAATAATCTAAACACTTGGTAAGTAGGTAGGTAGATATTTATATACCTACTTATTATTAATAAATTAAATAAATGATTATAATCTATTACTGTAAAAAGTAATTTAATTTTGAATGGCCTGAGTACTTAATTCAATATGAATCAAATAAGCACCTAACGTTAAATAATTGATCTCAATTTTTGTTAATAAGTAAGCACTGTTAATTTATTTTATTATTACACTATTATACCTACATATAACACCAAAAAAGTGATTTTTTTATTAGGTATAAATATTTCCAATTACCAAATTACTAAATAATTTAGCAGCAAATAGATAAGTACACTGAGAAAACATGGGACAAATAAACTGTGTAGCTAATACTTTTTATTAATAGTGAATATATTGTTTATTACCTCTAAATAGTCGAAATAATAACGATAAATTTACTTTAGTAAAACTATGTGTCAGGAATAAAAATATATTTAGGATTCTTTTTATTTGGGAACCATAAACTTTTTTCTCAGTGTAGGGGAATTTGTTATATAAATATAATTCTTAAAAGTTAAGTCTGTGGTACCTACATATAATAAACTTGATCACGGTCCATGTAGGTATGGGTTAAATTTAAACCAACATTGGTATTGGTTACTGCTTGTATACAAGATTATATATAATCTTTAAATAACAAACACATGTACGCACAAAGACAAGAAATTTTAATGAATGACTCACTAAGAAAGAAGGTGTGATGCCTCGGACTGGTTTTAAAAAACAGTCTAAAATAATAAAAACCAAAGACAAACACAATTTGATGTCGTTTTAAATTTCTTTTGTTGGAGATGATAAAACTGGCACCCAACGACCAACAAATGGTCTGTGCTAGCACCCCACGTGCAAAGGTTTCCACAAAAGCTACTTCTTGTAATTCCCACAAATAATCTGTTTTAAAACAAATAAGATTTCGTGAAGTAATATATCTAATACATATACAGGGTGTCCGTTTTTTGAGGCTTAGCGTGGGAATATTGTTCATCTTATCTCGGCAGTTTTGTAACGTAGCAAAAAGATTTTGGCAGATTTGAATTCCCCTTAAGAAAGTGACTCAATAACGTCTACATTAGAAAAGGCTACCTTCAGCCGTTTTTTAAATAAAAAATTAAAATTACAAAAAGTTAAAATTTCTTTTTAGATCATTAGGTAATCAGCATAAAAATGTGTACCTACCTAACTTTTCTTAATTTAACCAATTACTTATGCATCTCCGCGTGCATCTCTAAAGGTAAGCGAAATTCCCGTGCTTAGCGTTATATAGATATTAGTACACTTTTATAAAAATCAGATTTGTTAACATGAGTTTGTAGCGGTTTGTAGTTTGTTAATTTTATTTTGTAAAATTTTAACATCATTTTTTCTAGAAAACCAGGGTTTGTAGGCATTTTCTTAATTTCAAAGGTTAGTTAGTTAATGTTTAACAAATTATTTCGTTGAAAAAGTCGGAAAAAGTACACGTGTTTTTAGGGATCAAAACACACTAACATTAACAAATTATTTCGTTGA